AGTTTAAGAAAAGATATTTGTACCTTGTACGTCAATATTTTTTTCAATAATTCTCTATCCACATCCTTTGGCTTTTTTGTTTCCTTTTATGGCCAACAGAATATTAAAGGATAACTAGAGTATATTCCTTGACTAAATCTACAATCCAAATTTTAATTGCCATGGACAAATTCCTAATTAAGGATATAATTGCAAAATAATGATTATGGATTTAGTCACCTTTCCACTTTTGCAACTAGCAATACCTTATATAATTTTCGATCGAATGCATTGAACTTAGACACGTTAATTTAAGCTGCGAATTAACACATTTTTTAAGTCAAGATCAAAATAGGACTACATTAATTTATCATTGGATATGATCCTTCTAAAATTTCTTTGCCTAAGTTGCAATATAAATGCAGTATTATTTAAATTGACTTCTATAAGCTGATAATTTTAAAAAATTACACTATCACGTCATTCAAAAGACAATTAGTAATGCTATAATAGGTCACAATACAAGTAATATAGTATTATATAGTATAGTTTTTCTTTAACACTATCCATATATAAGTTAAATCCTAAGAAATTAAGCAAAGCAATGCACAACATAAATACATGGATGATATGCAAAACCACCTTCTACAATCTACCATTAACACTACAAATTCCACAATTCATTAAAAATTGTTTAATAGTAGTAATTATGGATATGTTACTTTTGATTGATGACAAATCTCTACTCTTTTTCTTTACTAGAAAAAAACTATTAAATAATGTACCTAGCATTTTCTTAAATAATGTTCCCCGTTTTCAAGAATATATTGCGATAGCTTTTTGTGCATTTTCACCCCTAGAGATATTAATATAGTATAATATTAACTCATTATAGGAACACAAAAAAGAAAGTGGTCTAAAGTGGACAACACCATAAACAAAAGCTGATAATTTTTAATTTTGAAAGATAAGTGGTTTAACTTTTGGAGACATGCTTTTAGAATTAAGAGCAACCAATTATATTATCCACTTACTGCTCCCCTTTAACAATTTTTTTTCCTCTTATTATATTGTAAATTTCATTGTAGCCAATTATATTGAGCAGTGGTGTCAGATTTTTCTTTGTTCTTGCCCAATTATTTACCGCAAGTTCTTCTTGTGGTTACTCTCAAAGCATTTTACCTATTGTCAAGCCTTTTAAAAAAATAAATAAACGTATGGAATAAAATATCTCATTCTAGATATAACAACATATCCTATAGTAATTTGCTTTAAAATGCAACTGACTTTTCAACAACGACAAGCCGGAGCTTATGACACTATATAGTTATTCTCAAAATAATAGTCGAAATATATATATATATATATATATAGGAGTAATAAAGTGCAAGTTCGGGACATGACTGTTTGCAAATGAATTGGATTTATGAGTTTAAACTGTAAATAATTAAAGTCGTAGCCAGTAAAAAGATGGCCTTACGTACACTAGATATGGTTAAAATAGTACGGGCTAGTCAATTTTCGGAATGGTCATTTAAAAATAACCAGTGTTTGCAAAGTCATTAAAAAATAGTCTCTATTTTACTGTAACAAGGACCGGTCCAGCATACTATGCTGAAGATCGGTGCAACTGTGTATGAATTTCCAGCATATTATGTTGGAACTCCAACATGCGAAAAGTTCCAGCATAATATACTTGATATTGGAGCACATGTGTATGAACTTACATCATATTATACTGGACTGATATATTATACTGGAACTCCATTATATTTTGCTGGAGTTCCAGTATACTTATGCTGGAACTCCATTATAATATGCTGGAGTTTCAGTATACTTATGCTAGAACTCCAGTATATTATGCTGGAGTATTTTTCGGATTTTGAATAATTTTTGTTCAGATTTATCTTTACATGAAAATTGGCTAAATTTCAATTACTTTTCAAACCGTGGATATTTTCGAATGACCACTTGTAAATCTGACTATTTTTTAATTTCTCCCTCTTCTACCATGACATTTTCAAAGTGGCTATATTACACCAAATCCACAAATGGGTATTTATTAACATGGTTAATAGTGAAAATAGCACGGGCTAGCCAGTTTTTGGACTGGTAATTAAAAAATAGCTAGTGTGTGCAAAGTCATTAAAGAATAGCCACTATTTTGTCGAAACACGAAAAGTTCCAGCATAATATGTTGGATTATGGAGCTCCTGCGTATAAACTTCTAGCATATTATGTTAGAACTCCAGCACATTATGAAATTACAGCACAATTTCATATGTAAAAAGTTCGAACTCCAGCATTCTTATGCGAATTTTTAAGGGTGTTTTTTTTAGATTTATCTTTACATGAAAAAGTGACTAAATTTTGATTACTTTTGAAACCGTGACTATTTTTCAATTATCAGTTGTAAATCTGGCTATTTCTGAATTTTTTCCCCGGTAATAACATAATTAGATATATAGACATTTAGTACTCTCTCCATATTCTACCATGTGAAAAACTTAAATAAAACTATATTAAGTTCTTGATGTCATAATAGCGTGTGAGAAAAAGCTAACACGTTAGGTAGTTCAGATACAAAGTGGAGTTGCATGACAAATATAATTAATAGATATAAGATATGGTTGGTGGGATAATAAATTGATATATCACCAATAAAATTCATTTAAATAAATCAAAGAATAATTGTATTCACACGAACGAGTGTAGATCTAAGATGTTAGCAAAATCTTTCGTGTTACTTCCTAAGATTTAGGCTGGCAACAGCAAGTCCAAATAATTGCAAATTAAATTTCACATGAATATATGTTTTAATAACTTTTGCAAACTCTTAAATTGGTGTCATGTGTTTACACTAGATTTCTTGATACTAGACAGATTTTTAGAATACAATAATTGCTAATAATTCATTTTGCCTACTGCAAACTTAGTGCTAACACAGTACTTATGACTTTAACATAAATTTATATAAAAAAAAAATATTAACCCATATATGCATAAAGTTTATGTTTATATGTGATATTATCACTTTTTTTTTGTGGAATTCTTTTAGGGAACCCGCAGTCCTATTCTTAGGGTGCGCACGAGGTAACTTGCTCACTGTGCAATAGCTGAAGATGTAAATCGTACTAGACAAGTTCGGTGCGACAAGCTCTCAGTGACGAGGCTGCTGATGAAGGGAATCATCGCATAGTTTCTTTTGATATAATTTTATAAAATACTGTCTCAAATTACTCATGAGTTTATAGTCTTGATTACAACCTTGTATTCATCTTCTTCATTAACGTTATTTATAAATACAAAATAAGGATATAATTGAGATCATATTATTGTTGAGTTTAATATTTAACAAATGGAAATTAGAGAAGAAGCTCTTTTTTTTTCAACATAGGAAAGAGGTTGACTTTGACTACTTTTTAGAGTTTTGATTATAGAGTACGAAATTTTAATTGATTGAATAACTCCCTTTTGACTTTCTTGTTGCTTATAAATCTTGCTTACTTGGGACATTTCTCATTCTTTTCCCTCTACTTTAGGAACTAAGAAAGGAACTCAGAGCTTAATGGTATAATAGCATAAGTAAATAAAAGAGCCTTAAGATTGACACAAGATCAAGATAAAGATAAAGAAAGTACATAGATAGAACAGAAAAGGTCCAAATATATCTTTGTACTATCCGAAAAAGTTTATATGTATCCTTGTTATACTTTGAGTCCAAATATGTTTGTCGTTATACTATTGGATCAAATATGCTCATTTTCTGTCCAAAGTGGATATCAAATCTTACATGATACTGACATTTGATGAGGTGAGTGGCACATGACTTGCCACCTCAGTGCCCCTAACCCATTTTACCCATCCCTTCTATTTTTTTTCACTACTAAAATTTCCTTCTCCTCCGTCACTATTGCCACCATTACCGCTACCATGAAAAGTTATTGTATTTCAAATTTTAGTCTTTTATATATAGATTAGGGGCGCTGATTTAGCATGTTATGTGATATCCACCTCATCAAATATCAGCACCACGTATGATTTGATGTCCATCTTGAACAAACTTAATAAAAGAGGAATACATTTGAATCAATAATATTACGATAGAAGTATATTTGAATTTGATGTATAACGAAGGGTATATTTAGACCTTTTCTCGTAGTACATGAATATATTTGGCTATTTGGCGTAGATAGAATTTAGTAGCTAAGTTTTTTTTTCTTTCTATTTTGAAACCAACAAGTGGTATATATTCTTGCTTGCATTGGCTAACAAACCCAAAAAAGGAAACAAAATTCATGATTGATCTTGGTGGAATTAGGCATGTAAGATCATCAACTTGTTATAGCTATAGACGAGCTACAGTCTTCACCTTTCAATTATTACTAGTATTATTATCATTATTGGTGCTACGGTAAAAATTGTGGCCGTTTGAGCTTCATATCATGAATTTTCCGGCTAAATTACAAGCTAATATTATATATGCGGAGGCGGAGTCAGAATTTAAAGTTTATAAATTCTAAATTTGCCGCCAAACCTATAACTCGTTATAGTTACACAATTGAATATTTACACAAATTTTCTAATAAAAATATAGGGTTTAAGCAAAAACTATTGAATTAGTTTGAACACGTAATTTATATATTCCCTCCGCCCTCTATATACATAAGACTTATTGTGGTCCAACCTTTCTCGTACTCGGATATAATGAAACTTAAGTGCACCAAACTGCCCTCTTCTTTCTTCTTCTTCTTATTATATTATTATTATTATTATTGTGTTACATCATAGAATAACACATAATACTACCAACAATTGCACTTACTGGTTTAGCCGCTATTTCCTCCCACTTGTGTGTATGGGAGTTAGTAGCAACCAATAGGGGTGTTGTGTTTTGGGCGGTGCTACTTGCTGTGGCTGAGCAAATCCATAAACTTTTGCATTGAATTCCACAAAATAACAAATAAAACTAACCAATCCATAACCTTCTCTTTAACTATAAACCACACATTTCATCTTTCTTGTTTTTTCCTTGTTTCCATTGGCTCTTTGCTCAACTTACCACTTCTTGTCCCTTACTTCCAAGAAATAGTGAGAAAAATAAAGGGTAGGGGTCCTTTTTTTTTTTGTGATTAAGAATTTAGGTGGATGATTGAAAAGGGGACAACCCCACTTGTGTAAAACTTCCATACTTCAGTCATCCATTATTTTCTGCTTCATTCATCTCCATTTTATTGCTTCTCTTGTGTTTGTATAATCACCTCAATTGGGAGTCTAAATAAACACAATAAGCTAGTTTTGTTTTTTCAAAATATAATCTTTGATTATTTTAAGAAAGAGGTTGATGACCTTTGTTTGTTCCCCATAAATTTGTACTATAAAAAGTTGGTATTTTGGATAAAAGGAGGGGTCTTTGTATCTGGACTTATCTCTACTTTTTTCATCATTAGGGGATTTTTCCAGGTGTCAGAGACCCATATCAGATCTGTTTTCCCATCTTAGAATACCAAAAAAAAAGGAATAAAAATCTAATCTTTATTGTGTATATGAACTGATCTTGGACTCAAACTGGATTCTTGATATGGGAATTTGAGAACATAAATAGAGGAGAAGCTTTCCACTTTCCTTTTGCTGTTGTTTCTAAATTTATGTAACCTCTTTTCCATTGTTTTGTTTCTTTTTGCTCTTATAAGAATAAAAGAGTTGTGTGTATAGTAAGAGTTTACTTAGTTAAAGCTTTGTTTTAGTCGATTCCTCTTGAGTCGATGGTCTTTGCCTCTAGAGGTCGGTAAGACGTGCATACGCAGTACCCTTCTGAGACCTTACTTATAAAATTTTATCGGATTTAATTGGTTGATTTTGTTTTTAGTCAATCTTGTTAGACTTTTGGTGAGGCCCACTATTTGTTTTGGTGGGCTTCATCAAACCAATAGAAGGATAAAACCTGTATTTTTGGAAGGGGATTGGTGGGGATCCCCTTTATCTCCTTTTTAAGTAGAGGTTGTAGTTTAATAATTGTTATATAGTAGGAGAAAGAGGGTAAAAACAAATGAGTTTCTATTTATTTACCTACCTTTTGATCTTCTCCCCACATGATTTATGCTTAAATTGAATCATCAAAAACCTTTTTTCAAATGCTTTTCTTATTGATAACTTGCTTCACCTTCATCACTTTCCTTTATAAGTCTCTTTCCCTTAAACCACTTCCCTTATGGAGTTCTGAGGTGAGATTGTTATCAATCCATTTTTGGAAAGATTTCTTGATTTTGTTGAACCCTTTCAAGAAAGGATTTTTAGAAGCTGGTTTTATCCATTTTATTACTTCAAGAATGTCAATTAGGAGGAAGAGTTTCAGCTCTAGAGTAGAGAATGTTGATCCAAATTTAGAAATGTCTGTTCTTGATTTGCCTGAATTGGCTTTGGATTGTATTCTTGAAAGGCTTCCCCCTGAGGGACTTTGTAATATGGCCAGTGTTTGTAGTTTTTTGAAAGAGAAATGTAAAAGCGATTATCTTTGGGAAAGACATATGAAAGAAAAATGGGGTAGAGTTATTGGACCTGCTGCTTATAGGGAATGGCAGTGGCATATTGCTTCAAGAAATGATTCAAGTTTCTTTAACCAGGCTAAACAAAGAGGTTTTATGACTTACCTCTCTCAGTTTTGGCCTATTTCATTAGTTAGTAGATCTAATTTTAGCATTAGTATCAAGAAAAAACATACCGCATCTGTTGATTCAGTTATGTCTTGGTATCTTGCTCTTGAATCTGGCAAGTTTTGGTTCCCTGCTCAAGTTTACAATCGCGAGGTATCATCAAAATTTCAGCTTGAATAGTTTTTTTGTTGTTGTGAAATATAATTATTATTAGTTTCTCTGTTTCTAATTTGCAGAATGGGCATGTTGGTTTTATGCTGTCTTGCTATGATGCTGAGCTTAGCTATGATCCAAGAACTGACACTTTCCAGGCCAGGTAATTGGAAATATATACTCACAAATCTTGATTCTTAAATGTTTCTCCTTTTTTGTGGGCTAAATAAAACTAGTGATAATTTGCCACTGTAACCAGTACCGGAGCCTGAAATTTCACAAGGGGTGTTAAAATTTAAAGAAGTTAAACACACGAAGAAGCTAAGGAGAGTTAACATATGGTGTATATACATGAAAATAATCTTTTGACCTAGCTACACAGTGCAGTTTTCCCGGCGAAGGAGTGTCTTTCCTTTTGCTACATATGAAATTAGAAGTTCAAGAAATGCTTTTCTTTTTTGTAATAATATATGTAAATGAGTTCTGAAGAATTAGTTTTGTTTATATAATTATTTTGCAGATATCCACCACATGGAAGGAGGGCAATTGCAATAGAGACAGGTGTAACATGGGATAGATTAAGAGCTCCCCCTCTTGATACTTCTCCACATGATCTTTATATATCTGATTGCTTGACTGAATTATGCCCTGGTGATCACATTGAGATTCAATGGAGAAGAAACAAAGAATTCCCTTATGGTTTGTTCCTCCATTAACCTTTCCAACATTCTCTACCATTTTCATTCTTTTTGAAGAAGTGTAATTATTTGGCATATTGTATTTTGGGGATTGGGAGTCTTTGAGTAATTGGTAAAGTTGTTGTCATGTGACCAGGAGGTCATGGGCTCGAGCTGTGGAATTGGGAGTCTTTGCGTAATTGGTAAAGTTGTTGTCATGTGACCAGGAGGTCATGGGCTCGAGCTGTGGAATTGGGAGTCTTTGCGTAATTGGTAAAGTTGTTGTCATGTGACCAGGAGGTCATGGGCTCGAACTGTGGAAACAGCCTCTTGTAGAAATATAGAGTAAGGCGGCATACAATAGACCTTTGTGGTCCGGCCTTTTGCCGGACCCCGCGCATAGCAGAAACTTAGTACACCGGACTGGTACTTTGGTGAAGTTAGGTACTATACTAATATTCCTTGATTGTGGATGATGTGTTACAAAACAAACTTCCTGGTAGTATCTAGGAAAGATGACTTATCCTAGTCCTATTTCCAACTTGTTAGAATCTTTTTCTTTTTTCCAAGAAAGGTCCTCTCTTTTATCTCTTGATCTTCCAAAACGTGTTCAACTGTTAAGCCTGCCTTAATTGACCACAACTTTTTGATGGACATAGTGGAACTTATTCACTATTGATGAATTTTGGGATATATTTTCAGCAGTACATATTGGGTGTCCTATGAACAGTTAATTCCTACTCATCTCTTCCATTGTACTGATATTCTTTATTTTTTAGTCTATACCAAAAAATTTGAAAACTCTTTCCATCTTACGATGAATGACGTGCTTTTATAACCGTAGAAATATCATTGGGATGTTCAAACTACAAGCTCTAAAGATACTTTTGGATTTTGGTAGGTGTCAAAAGTCAATCGTTTGTACTTCGATCTTAAACTTATATCCAGTCAAGCCGTGGTTTAAAATGAATTAAGAGAAAGTCATTGTTTTTTTTCAAATGGAAGGTGGCCAGTCTTTCTTGTTTGGTAGAAAGTTGCATCAGCAGAAACTTAGGGTTCCTATTTTTTGATTTGAGTCCACTGTCAATTTCTTCCTAGGAAACGTGACTTACTTTGATTGGTGTTTGAATCTTGAAGATATGAACAAATCTATCTTTTGGTTTTGCAATCTTTGAATTTTTGTGGCATACTTTTGCAGGCTGGTGGTATGGTGTTGTAGGCCACTTAGAAACATGTGATGGAAATGAGATTTACTGCCGTTGTCATGATAGTGGTGAGTTATTTTCCCTTTCACATCTATAGCTAGTAGTGTTTTTTAGCCATATACTTTTAAACTAAGTCAATTGGAGAATCTAGTCTGTAGCTTTACTTACCACTTATTTTCCCTTTCACATCCAAGATTTAGCTATATACTTGTACACCACTAACTCCATTAGTAAACGGGCCAAAATCCAAGAAACGTAAACATCAGTTTCCGTGTGTGCATGTCAAATTCAAGATCACAAGTTTCATTTGTGGTCCACTATAAGAACAACAAGATATATAGTAGGGTTAGATCGTTGTTATTGTTATTATTATTGTTATTAACCACCCGAAGAAAGGGTGGACCTACAAAAGACTTGTCTAGTTTTGTGCATTCAAGATTTTCACTCACACATGTGTAGGAGAAGACATCTTAGCTATGAATATAATTTGAGTATGATCCATTACTTGTTTGTAGTTTATGTGCTTTACATCTTTAAATTTTTTTTAAGAAATTGTCGATTCATCATTATCGAAGGGGCCTTGGCGTAACTAGTAAAGTTGTTGTCTTGTGATCAGGAGGTCACGTGTTCGAGCCGTGAAAACAGCCTCTTGCAGAAATGCAGGGTAAGACTGCGTACAACAGACCCTTGTGGTCCGGCCTTTCCCTGAACCCTGCACATAACGGGAGCTTAGTGCACGGGACTGTTTTTTTGTCAATTCATCATTATCACAAAATAGACCTTTTCTTGAGTAAGGCCCCTTTTGGACTCCCATCATTTTGCTTGTGGGCTCATCTTTTTGGTCCCCAAGACAGAGCCCTATTCAGTTTGTCATCTTTTCTTCCAACATGATCATAAGTGCTGTCTCAGTGGAGCATATTTAATGATAAGCAAACTGAAAGAGACTTGTAATTTTCTCAGCCTATGATTCTTTCTTGTGGAGCTGGAATGATTCTGCCTTTTAATATGGAGATTGATGTATTGATCCAAGATTTTTTAATTTCTTGGTGCCTGGCCTAATTGTCTCTTTTCATCTTCTTATGCTTGAGGGTTTTGTCGGAAATAGCCTTCCTAATCCAGGGTAGGGTAAGGTTTGCGTACACCCTGTCCTCTCAAAACTCCCACTTGTGAAATTATATTGTGTTGTTGCTATTGTTACTATTCTTGAATCAATTGATATTGGTGTATTCTAGAATCCTAATTTCACATTTGGTACACCAGTAGGCATAACTTACTTCACATCTCTAACTTTTCTTTATCTTTTCCTCAACATTTCTTCTTTTTTTGTGAAGTTTTTCAAGTTCTTACATAATTCAAATGATTAACTTCTGGACCCCCATCTCTACACCCTAATAACATTACAAAGATTTTAAATTCATCTTTTAGTAATAGTAGGAAGGGGAGCTGTCATGTGACTAGGAGGTCACGAGTTCGAGCCATGAAAACTGACTCTTGCAGAAATGCAGGGTAAGGCTGCGTACAATAGACCTTTGTGGTCCGGCCCTTCCTCAGACCCCGTGCATAGCGGAAGCTTAGTGCACCCGGCTGCCTTTTAATAATAGTAGCAAGCAAACTATAACAAATGTACATTCACTTTGAACACCTTCTATCAGTTGAGAAGATCTCCTAAAAAATGGTTAAGTCCTCAAGCCTTCATTTAATCCATCAAAAACTGTTCTTCCTTTTTAAGTCGGCTATAGGAATCATCTATATCCATTTCGCTCTAAGGCCTTCATTTAGCCAAGTTCTGTTCTCTCAATTAGTTTAGACTTGATATAAGGTTTCAAAAGTCTAATTTCTCTCACATTATAAAAGGAAAAGGGGTGGGGGGAATACAGTACACGAGTGAATAACACATACTCTAGCAGATATAAACTGTTCTAAGGAAAAATCAACTGACTACTTGAAAATTTATGCTATATATCTTTGATCTTATGAACCACTACCGCACCAATGTGATCCATTTCAATCTTGCTACTCGAAACTATTTCGTTAGTGTGTTGTCATGGTTTCTGAATATCAATGTGGTACCTGCAGATATTGTAATGCTGGAGTTCAATCAGTATACTCCTGGATCACGGTGGAGAACAACAACCATCGATAGGAAAGATCATCGTGAGGAAGGAAATGAAGCTGATGGATTTTATGGAGGAATTCGGAAGCTTCAGAGCAACGAAGAGATTTCTATGTGGAGACACCTCTGGCCAACTGATGCGTTGGAGTAAGTTAAAAAAGAGTATTTGGAATTTACTCGCTTAATGCTTCACTGTTGTTGGCAGAAAGATCACCATTACAAAAGTTCATTTGGTCCATCAGAATGTGAAAATGTTACACAAGAACTTAGAAGTTCACTTCCACTAGCATTTTCAGTCCCTATTTTCAATTATGTCTATTGTTTAGTGATCAGTGGAGGAGTTAGAAGAGGTTATTTTATAATGCAGAGATTGCCTTATTTGCTTCTCCATAGGTCCAAATTGTTTGTAAAATAACTACCACGTTTACAGATTGATTTGTTTAGTGAATCTATTAAAGCTATAGTATAGCTTCTTGTACTAAGAATGTAGATTCTTGATTTATCTTTTACCACCATTATGGTTTCTTTTGATCAATGAAAGGATAGATGCTTAGTTTTTTATATTTATTAAGAAAAAAAGGAGCTATTTACCCGGTACAGGTATCTTGTGGAATAGCCGATGTGTGCGCAAGCTAGTCGAGCTACTACCATTATTCAAAAAAGATAAACGAAAGGAGCTAATTAATGTTTCCATGTCCAGAAGATGAAAGTATCAGAAATGACTATGTTGAGATGGATATTCGGACAGACGAGGAGAAGATGTAAGTATCAGAAATGAGAATGTTGAGATGGATGTGCGGACATACGAGGAGAAGATGAAAGTACCAGAAATGAAGATGTTGACATGGATGTGCGGGCGTAAGGGGATAGATAAGATTCGGAATAAAGTTATTCGGAAAAATATGAAAATGGCCCTTGTAGAAGACAAGATACAGGAAACGTGGCTAAGACGTTTCCTAAGATAGTATGGGCATATAAAGAGGAGAGACACTTTTTTTTTATCAGTGAAAGAGATTGGTTTGTTCTTTGCAAGCTACAAGTAAAATGACATCTAATAATACATAAAACTTTTTTTTTCAAGAGATAATGTCACAAATACTTTCAACTCTATTTGGAACAAAAAATCACTTGTCCTATCAAATGAAATCCTATGACATCTTTCCTTTCACTAAATAAAGGAAATTTCAAGTTTACATAATAGAAAAAATAAAGAACCAAAAATACTATTGGTAGACATATCTTTCTTTAAGCTTTTTCAAGTCCATAACCCAAACAAAGTGCTGGTTTGTACTTCACAATCACCAACTTTGGCTCCCCTCCATTTACCTTTTTACTCACATTGCCATTACCATTTCCCTTGAATTTGAAACTCAATTTCTTGAAATAATTTGGCTTCCATATAGCTAAAATTGGATTATTCATCTTTCCTTCACTATTCTCCTTTCTAAATGATGCATATTTCACTAACATTCCTTTGAATTTTTGCATTTTGGTTTCCACAAAAATATCCCCTTTTGAAGTGGGCTTGGGCTCTTTCTTGTTTTTGGGCTTCTTGGATTCTTTTGGGCCTGGCCCAATAATCATAGAATGGTCTAAAACCCATCTTCCATATGATGCTCCCTTGGCCTTAGACTCAATGGGCTTTCTTGGATTTGGGCTTGAAGGTTGAATTGGAGTCATGGATACAATTTCTTGTCTCATTTCCTCAATAGTCCATTCCATATTTTTGGCTCTAAATGGTGAGAGTGACCTTGCGCGTTTATGGCGATTTGAATTGTTACTTCTCCCTCTATTTTTTTCCTTCATCACCTTTTGCATGGCAACAACGAAAGGATCAACGTCCCGTCGAGCAAACGGAGACTTAACCATGGCAGTCGGAGCGATAGTTGAACATGTAATCGATCGTTGGGTAGTATATTTCATGTCATTGTCACATTGGAGCCTTGGTGGTAGTTTAAGGGGCATGACTTGACCATTAGAGAAAATTTCATCCGCAAATGCCATCTCTCTTCCTTTTTCGTGCCATGATTGCTCATCCTCGCACGTTTCAAATTCAAAATCACTCAAGGTCAACTCATAGTCGCTATCACCTGCAGTTCTACTGAACCTTTTACCTGGACTAGCCGGAGCGCTATGGTACTGCACCATGTAAGAAGTTGGACTAGTTGGTGCAGTCACATAGGGAGAAGTTGAAGGTGGAGATAAAAACTCCATAACTATAAGTTTCAGAATTGAAGTTTAGGCAAAGGGAAATGACAAGATTTTGAATTTGATCTAAAGAATAAAGAGTGATTTAGAAAGGTGTTTGAGTGCTTGAATATTTTGCTCCTGAATTTAAGGATTCCATAAGTCACAAGCACTAGCCATTTAGTGTAAAATAATCTTCAAACCTAAATTAACATAGAAAATGCTAATTCATGTCCCTAACTATAGACTAGCTTAAATGCATTAAAAAAAAATATTGGTGTATAGTTGTTTGATTACAGAAATGGCCATATGTGGACCAACCACAAGAATATTATTTGCATATTTAGACATTTTAGTGCTTCTTTCTTGGACTTTTCCAATGTTCAAAGACCAAAAGCTTGTTTCATAAACATTAAAACAAACCACTTAATTATTTTATTTCTATTAGAGTTAGTGAAAGGTGACTGTTTCGTGGTCTTGCACATATTTTGGATACTTATAATTTATGGGATCAGACCAAAGTGATAAGAAATACAGAAGTGATTTATTATACTATGCAATAAAATAATTGTATTATTGTGTATATAAGTTTGACAGATGTACTTATTAATTTTGTCATGTCCGTGTTTTGATACCATTTTATGATTTTGTTTCAATAAACAAAAAGGGAATATAATTTTGCTTTATCCTCCATTTTGTGTCTTTTTATTTCCTTTTCTTTCTCTTCTATCCTCTTTGTCCTAAATAAAGAATTATATGGTAGAAAATTACAAGAAGACACAAACAAAAGCATGAATAGATTATATAGCTATCCAAGATGTGATTCATATACACATTCACACGTTTGACTCAATCATGGATGGTCTACTTGAATCTCATTTTCAAAAATTTAAGTTTGAATTACTCCATGATGAAGCCATTCGTGAATTGATCTTAGTACATGTGGATAATCATCAACGGTCAAATACTTAGTTTATTGGATTTTTCGTAAAACGTATTGATCTATTATTATTATTATTATTACTAGTATTATATAACTTTAAATAGTTTATATATGAGATTAATTTTAGTGTATATAAATACATATTTTGGTTTAAAACAATGTTATTTTCATATATATAATAAACAAAATTTATGAAGCGGCTAGTATCGAATGGTATCCCTTACTAAAAGGTGCCTTCGAGATTGTCAACAATCAAACACCACTAGATATTCCTGCAATAATATTGCCAGCAGATCCATTATTTTGGGCTCGAACAATTTTTATATAAAATAATTTAAAACAAAGATATGTATACCTACCCCTAATAGATAGTGGAGCAATCCCTTCTCCACTTTGCATACCAAAGAGAAGAAATCTTTATGCTCGTAATTCCTCTTCTTTCCTTCTTCATTTTCCACAAAAAGGCTGTTCAGATTTTTAACATGTGAAGATATAAAATTTATTTTTATTTAAAAATTAATAAACTTAAAATTCAAATGAAATAACTAATCTAATATTCTATCAATAAAATATATAGTTTTTAAAATATATATGATAGTTGGTGGTGGTGATGACTAACGGGTTAATGCCGACTAGAGGCGGTGGTTGATGGTGGTGGTTCATGCTAGTAGCTAGTAGTGATTGGTAGTGGTGGCGATTATGATTGAGGATGGTGGTGGTGGTTGATGATAGTTAATGATGGCAGGAGGTGGTAGCAGTTATGACTGAGGAAAGTGGTGGATTGATGGTGGTAGGTTATAATGATGGGCAATATCGGCTGTGGTTGTTGATGGTGATGGGGTGGTCAGTTGTGGTAGTTGAGGTGGATAAGTGTTGATTATGGGGGAGAATGATGGTGGTCGGAGTGGTGGGGATAGTGGGTGGTGATGGTCGATAATGGTGACGGCTGTCACACCTCCTTTTTACACACTCGAGGGGTATATGGGGAGTTTTTCCAATTTAAGTGACATTATTCGAAATGAGATTATTTTATTTAATTCAGAGTCGCCACTTGGAATATTTTAATTGGTGTCCCAAGTCACCAGTTCAAATCCCGAATCGAGGAAACAATTGACTCTGTTTAACAGTCCGCAAACCAGAAATCCGGGTAAAGAATTCTGTTAACCCAGGAGAAGGTGTTAGGTATTCCCGAGTTCCGTGGTTCTAGCACAGTCGCTCAACTATTATTATTGGCCTAATTATCTGTTTTTCAAACATTTTTCAAACATGTGTGCATTCTTCAACTATTAAACCGCTTTTTAAATCGCTTAATTTATTCATAAATAAAAAATTGAGTTACGTGTACGTATACTCTTTCCCTTTGGCGTGTCAAAAATCATGTCACGCGAACGTGTCCACAATTAATAACGCTTTGTTCATTTATTAAAGAAAAATTTGATTGAGGTTGCGCAAACGCATCCCTCAAGTCTTTTTAGAGTTAAATTTGCAATTATGTTACACGAACGTATACATAATCACAATACTAATCTAGATCGAGCCTAAAGCAAACTACGAATATTATAATTCTCCTTCTAAATTTCCGACAATGTGAAATAAAAGGGGCGAAAAAGAAATCATATAATAATATCAGACGCGGATGGAACATTACTAAGGATGTAATTCTTTTCCTTATCGAAGTTGATGGTATATTTTTTTTAGGCTTCTTTTAGTATTAGTAACTCCATTAGCTGAATTTCTATATTTATTTCATACCCGAACCAGCAATCCCTAGATTCCTTATATATATATATATTTTATTTTTAAAAAAAAAATCACTTGCTACCATGAAAATCTTCAATATTTGACATATAAAGGAAGAGCCACTGAGTTTGTGAATAAACCTGGAATTCTTGTTGATGAAAATACAAAACAATACCAAGTAAACCATTCAAATCAAAAATATCAAACCATATGTTTCAACCAAAATACTTTCGCAAAAAAAAAACCTTCAACCTTCATCAACTAGTGATAAAATTTAGATGCATTTGACATGGAATAAAAGTAGACATGTATCATCTCTAATAAATTTAGACCAATTTCATATCCCACAACTCGTTTCGTCCTAAAGCTAATTTGAGATTGTTTGTTGCGAGCATACAAATATGAGCTAAAAAAAACTAATAGTTGACCAATGAAGATGAATAAGCTAAATGATTAAGGGCTAATCTCAATTAAACAAATAACAACAAATTCTCATTTAGATACATGGGAAGGGCAGTCAAGTAGCTTAATGCAAATACCAAATCATGGTTATTACTATAAATTTCAAATAAAACAAGAGGTGTTGTAGTACTTCCCCATTCTTGAACTACACAATGAGCTCCTTTCTTTTAAACTAATAAACTCAAATAACTTGAATCTTCCCATGGATACTTTATGCATAAGCACACTTAAAAATAGTAGGCTTTTAATTAATTACAATTTTCGATGACATATGACGCATTACTACTTAATAAACATTTGATCTACCAAGGCTATAAGAATAAAGAAGCACTCAGTTCTTAGTAAATTATTCAAGACACATACTGCCAACTGGAGATTTCACCCTTAGATTTTACTTAATACATCACAAACAAACCAAACAAATGCCTTGAGATCCAAATGTACTCAACATGCCATCTGTTCTTACCCCCCTCCCCCCTCCCCCTTTTTTTTTAAAAAAAATCCAAGATTCCATCTTTACTAACAAAATTCAATATACACTGCACTTTTAAGGAAAAACTTTCAATTACTATAACTTAATTGAACATCCACAGCCTTCAGTAATGATAATGATCAAGACGAAACCGCATGGTAAAGTTCTGCTAAACAATCCATACATCCAAGTTTATTATGTATAATTTAAATTACAGAGTTCGAGCGAACAATTCCCAATCTATCACAATCCTAAATTAAACGCACTAATAGAAACTTATACATTTCGAGCTAAACCTGACTAACTAATACAGTACGTCACATTTAACAAACAAAATTGAAACGATATTACACAAATCATCCTAAACTGAGTTTATGCTTTAAGACAGCTTCTCATTTTTATTCTGCAAATCCATTACATAAACCAACTAAGGTTCAAGAATGTGTACATGATGATAGCACAGAAAATACCAAAGAAAATGAAGGCTCAGCAGTCAGCAGAAACAAGAAAAACAACCCAGTTTTAACAAAGAGAAATCAGAAACTGTTTCAAAATGTCAAAAAATCTCCAGATTCAAAGGAAGATCAATGGAATAGTAGTTCCTTTGTAGTATACTGCATTTTCTGGGAATTTTTAACTCTCTCAAAATCTCTTCAGTATTTTTTTTTAGTATTTTTCAGAAAATGTTCTTCTTTTCCAGTATTTTCAAAATCTCTCTTGTTTTTGAACTCAGTGTATGTGTCTCTCCGAATGTCCTCCTTCTATGATTTTCAGCCCCCTTAAATGGGCATTTAATTAGTCCATTTTCCACTACAACTTATATTCTCCATATTTTAAACCCAAATCAAATAAGAAAAACTCAAAATATTTTGGTCCCCTCCTTTTTCCCCGAAAATCCTCCTTATCTCTCAAAGTGTTGTTCCCCACTTTCTCTTTTTCTATTCTTTTTTTCCCCATATCTATATCGTGTGTGTATATATCTTGCACAAAAAGCAAAAGATAGGAAGAATTGTGTGAACCACATGTGCTTGTACTATTGTCCGTGCATTGTATTTTTAATTAAATATGTATGTTTGGAATGTGTGGACCCCTCTAGATTGTTGTTGGAATATTTCCACAAACACACGAAGATAACTTGGAAAGGAACACTTTGAAATTTCATTTCCTAGCATTTCTGCTTTGTGCTTCGTTACTCTTTTTTCAATTTTCATTATTTTTCTTATTTTGTTTCGTCTCTTTTTTTATTTTATTTATTTTTTANTCGTCCTAAACTGAGTTTATGCTTTAAGACAGCTTCTCATTTTTATTCTGCAAATCCATTACATGAACCAACTAAGGTTCAAGAATGTGTACCTGATGATAGCACAGAAAAATACCAAAGAAAATGAAGGCTCAGCAGTCAGCAGAAAC